ATAGACAAACTGATAGCGGATTTTACTTTGCACTCATTGTCATTATCATTATGATTATGATTATTCATTCATCAAAAATTAATAAAAAAGTTAATTGAAATATGTTTCATTGCTGAAACTGATATTTAATATGTCCGCAACTACTTCAACTATGAAATTAGTCTAGCCTACTTGAACATTTGAATGATATTAGCATTATCATTCATATTAGTCATTGACTATTACAGATATAAAAAAATTGAATTGAAAAATATTAATTAATTAATATTAGTCATAAGTTATATATGTATATATGAAATCTGATAAGTTATACATATGCGCTGTGATTGATTAGCAATTTTGAATGTTAACGAGATTGATTGGTTGATGCCCTTTTGTTACCATTTCATAGAATAAACAAGGAGTATATTAGTTTTGTCTTTTTTTATATATTGTAATTTAATTATAAAGTCTCAAATTGATCTATATATCGGAACTCCTCGTTGCCAACTGGGAATGAAGACGTCAGCTGAATGTAGTCTTTGCTTTATTTTGGCTTTTATGAATGAGTTTTATTAATTTTATGACATTGATTGTCGGTGATCGATGCCAATGCGAAAACTTTCCGTCCACATTGATGGCAATGGGCTCGTCTGGTCTGGTCTGGTCTGGTCTGTTCTGTCCTGATCTTTACGCATATCAAAGAACTCAAAATGCACTTATAAGTTATAAACAAACAACTGATAAGCCCAAATCAGCAGAAGAACTTAAGTAGTACATTGCAACTGATTGGCGATTGTCTCCAAATACAATTCATATATGAATAAACACATATATATATAGTAATCTCTGTAAAACGGAAGCTGATAGCTGAACTATTAATATTTGTCCCGGGGTTGAGGGTCATGCGAATTGTGATGCTTTTCACACGCTTTGTTGCACTTTAAATCGAAAACGAAATACGAAATGCATTTTCATTTTCATTTTCCGACATGCAAAAACTTAGACTTATCTTAAATTGATATTTTTCAAGTTGAGTTGATTTGAATGCACAGCTATCAGAGTTGTAGCTATCGGAGAGGAAGCGTCTTGAATGAAACTCATTACAGAGCAGGGCAGTTGCCCTTAGTTAAGTGTGGCTCGATTCACTCGCAATTATCAAAGCAAAATAATCAATTGACGCACAGCTCTGGGGCCGTTGCCGTTGTATAATCATTTAATAACATACGACACAGGTATATATAATTGTCCCATTATATCTTGAAACAAAATCTTTGCTAATCTTTAATACAAAAACCCAGAAGCTCCAAGCGCTCTACTGTGTTATCATGGCGTGTCTTGTTATTAAGTTTTTATAGTCACAGGTCCAAATCGAAATCGGAATCGAAATCGAATCGGTCTCACGGGCAAGCACGACAATAAAACTTTATACTTATTCCCAAATAATTGTTTAATATGTGCTTATGCATGTCCAATGGGCGCGCTTATCAAAATGCTTTATTATTTGCAACGCTTTATCAGCGATTTGTGGAACTCAATCTGAGAGAAGAGTGGCTATAGAGAAATCAAAAATAATTTACGTACTACTCGAAAATAATGTCGTAGATTTCAGTGATCGACACTTGATTGATAGCATAATAAATATAATCGTCCTAAGAAGGTGCTTTAACAGCTCGAGAACTGTTAGTTAGCTCGAGAAACTGCTTAGAAGCTAATCCTGAATTACAAGAGCTGCATCAGCGAATACAGTAGTGATATGAAAAGGGCATAGCAACAGTGAGTTGTCCGAGAGCTGAATGAGAAGAACTCATAGAGAAAGAAGAATGTGTGGAATCATGAACTGAACATGAATTGCACAAAATTTTATTTACGTATTATTGAGAACTTAAAAGGAAAAATTTGAAAAGTATTATAAAGACGTGATCATGAAATGGAGAGCTCTCGTGACTCTTCAATACTGAGAGCTGATCGACAATAGATCAAGAAATAACTAACAGTAAACAGTTCTCAATAAAACCTTAACGACTACTGAGTTCAGCTCGTGTTTGACTACATTGACCTTATGAGTGTGATGTGGTCAGTGAAAAGGCGCGGGTATTTGCCAGATTTTATAGGCGCCGCTGACTCAAGAGCCTGACTTATCGAACATGTTTGAACGCCTTTGCTCGACCTGCTGAACAGTTAGGCAATTGATAATAAAATTCTGTTAAATTGCCTAACAGATAATGGTTTACCTATGTTTATTCTAAATCTGAATGACGCATGGTATTGAAGTACTTCAGAAGTTGCGTGAGTCGACAGTTTTATCTGATTCCCAACAACTTTGAGTATGTGTTATGTTTTGTTAATTAGCTAAAAAAGCAACATGGTCAAAAATCCCCTGATGTGAGGTAGAAACTGATCTACTTAAAAAAAAAGGAAATAAAAAACAAATAAAGTACACCATAATAATTCATAAATATCCTCAATCTAATAAAACTAAAGATTTTTCAAATTTAGAATCGTTTTCTTGAATTATCGACCGAATTATCAATGTAAGATCAATCTAAATTTATTATACTGGAAGGCAACGACTCTGTGGCTTATAAGCAGACTATATATGAAGCACAAGACGTGACAATTCGCAATTTTGATTGTGCAAAACTTTTGTAGAACAAATCTGAAGAATGTCTGTGCGAAACACATGTAATTACACTCGTTTACTGCAGCATTCCAGCATAGTGGCAAAATATCTACTTAGAACTATGGAAACATGCTACAAAAACTCGACATAAATTTTTTAATTTACCTATAATGGCTAGGAAATGCATCACGATATTTTTGCAATAGAATATTCTTTAATTATTTTACTCAATTTATTTATTTGTATATTTAACACACTTTCACTTTTATTTAGATTAGTTTAAAGAGCGACTATTCAGGACTCGAATCCCTTGCGAGCTCAATGACAACTCCATAAAACTGAAATGAAATCGTCGCCTTTTATAACCAAAACCGAGGCGAACCGATACGAAGAACAGAACCCGCAGCCCACAGCACAGAATGATTACTGAATGCCGTACGAGCATCGGGCGAATAAGTGCGCATACACACATACAATACAACGATACAGACACAAACACATACCCGAACACATACACACACAGTCGCACACAATTGCACGCAGAGAGACGGTAAGAATTGAATTGGATTATGGCATCGGCACATACAGTTTGGCCGTTTTTTCGGGGCATTCTATGCTCGCTCTCCCTCACTCTCTCACTACATTTTGTACTAGCGAAAAGACCACAAAATGGAGCTGATTAAACAACTGCAACAACTATTGCCATTACAACAAGAAGAGCAAGAGTAGCGCAGCAGCAGCAGCAGCAATAGCAGCGCGAGCCGAAGGCAGCCGAGCGAATTGCAATGTACCGAACGATTGCGGCGTCGCTTCGCTGCCCACGCCGCTGCAGCGAAGCTGAAGACGCTGCGATTAATTGATAAGCAGCGAGTAAAGCTAAATGAGCAATAAATAGGCGTAATAAACAGTACATAGTAGCAACAGCTGTTCAAGAGAGGTAGTGAGCCTGAGAGAGAACGAGAGAGAGAGAAAGCCGATCCAATGAGAAGAACTGCAAAACAGCGTGAACTCTAGCAGCGCTGCGACTGCGACTGCGACGCCGGAAGTTACGTTGCGGCAGCTGGAAAATTTCCATTCGCGAGCCTTAATTTTGGCCAATGGTTGGTCAACGCTGCAAATAAATTTAAATTAATATTATTAAGAGGCTTAGGGGTAGATTCTGCACAAACGATTTGCTAATTTAAATTTTGATATCAATTAATGCGGGGTCAAGCCACAGATGCTTCTATTCTAGTTTTTGTTTTTGCAGGCCACTTTACTACATGCAAGCTAATTGAAGAGACGAATTTCTAAACGAAAGAGAGTGAGTATGTGGGTGCGTGTGTGTGTGCATGCGTCTATTCATGTATGCTGCCTTTTGTTGTGCTTCGCGTCGTTAAACTGCACTTAATACATAACAAAAGTCAATGTCAAAAACAACATGCTGCTGTTTGTTATCGACTGCGCTGTCGACAGTTTAATGAGTAGCGCCCATCCGTGTGTGTGGAATAGAGAGTTGCTGAGAATTTTTTTACCTATGCGGTTTGAGTATAAATCAAAATGCATTTCCGCTGCAAATTGCTGCTGACGCTCGCTTGCGTTTTGTGCGGTTTTTTCAGATATGCGAACATTGATGGCATCAATCAAAAATATTTTAATCAGGTTAGGTTTTAGATTTTGATTTAGCTTTTTAACAATCAAATGACTAAATATCATGTCTATAGCCAGTCTTTGAATGTAATAATAGACAGTAAACAGGTATTTTATTTATCGAAAATAACAACGGTTTATCAGCTAATTAACATCTAAGTGCATTTAGCTGCGTGCGACTGCATTTCAGAAATAACAACAACAGCGGCAACAAATTAAAGCGGAAAAAGAAACACATTGATGAAAAGGCACCGTCACGCAAGTTTTTCCCAGCGGAGCATAAAATGAAAACAGAAAAAAAAAGGCATGCATATGACCCCAAAAGCTTATAAAATTACATTAAACGGCAAAGGTCTGCAGCATGTTTCGTTTAAAAGGCGCCTATAAAAATGTAACTTGATTGCCATTAGATGAATTTAGCAAATTGAAATCAAATGAAATTCAATTGAGTTGCGAGACACATCTGATTTGTGGTAATGGCATCGGTTCAATGATCAAACAACTCAATTAATTCATCCGCGACGAGCAGCAATGGGAGAAAATTGTCTATTTTTCTCCCCTTTGAAATGGAAATCGAAATATTTGGTTGCCCGCGCATTAACACGCAACTCTGTATTGCTTGCAGCCCTGGTTGCTTATCGAAAGTGTAATAAAAAAATCAAAAAGTTGGCAGCGCCCAGTTGTTTGTCAGTTTGCAGCGTTGCCCCTCTGTGCGCTTCATGTCACATATGTTTTTCGAGTGTGATTTGAAGCAAGCATTGGGTTATTTCATAAAAAGTATTTATCCAAATAATATTGTTGAATTTATTGTGTCTGAAACATTTGAGGAGTCAAGCGAACAAAGCTAAATTAGTGAAAGATTGTTGCGAACGGGAGGAGGTTGCATCAAGTTGGCAGCATTGTCGAATGCTGAGCTACGAAGTAGTGTGCAAAAGCAAAGCGAAGAGAACGCAGCGCAGCCGAAAAAAATTTTTGGAAGCAGTAAAGCAGCGCACTGCACGCGATATATTTTTTATTTTCAAAAGATTGAAGCTAATATTAAACAATTTAGCGGATCAACGTGCCGGGCAGCCGTAAGTGCATTAATATTTGAAACATTCAACGTAATTATATAGTCGTGTAGTTCGTCTGCAGAATTTTTTTGCAAGAAGCGAAAAAATTTTTGCACAGCGGCAAAGGCGGCAGCGACCGAGACTGCGGCGAATTTGTGCAGCAAAGGAGAGCTGAAAATAATGAAAAATTTACAAGAACCGCACTCAGTGTGAAATAGTTGAGAATGCGAATGTAATTAAATAATTATATTCACCAGAATTTACAAAAGTTTTAAGAAATGATGACTACAAATTGATACATTTGTATGTGTGTATGAAAAATCGGCATGTGCTGGGGCATGTGTGTGTGTGCATAAAATTCTTATTGGAAAAGCGTGCTCAGCATTTCGGCGGCTGCTGCTTCTGCTGACAGTTGGACGTATATATATATATCTATCTATATATATGTGAGAGTGTATGTGAGTGCTAGTGTGTATGTGTGTGAGAGAGACCTGAGAAGTGATGTGAAGACACAAAAGAAAGACGACGGCGCTGACTATAAAATAAAGAAGAAGACAACGGACCAGCTCTGCCCCGGCAAAAGCGCGTTGACGTTTCTTGCTGCATTTGTTGTCGTTGTCGTCGGTGTCGTTGTTGTTGTTCTTGATATTTAGCTACCGTTCTCGACCAGAAAGGAATTTCCTATGCTTAGCCCAAAATAACTTCAAAACTTTTGATTGCCATCGCGCGGCTGTTGCCGCTGCTCTCTGCTCTCCACTCTCTGCCGTTTGCCATTCACCATCGACCGCTGCGCCGTTAATTTGCCTGTGTCAATCTATAAGCTCATAATTTCGCCTTAAACTGTATTTATTATTGTTATTGTTATTGCCAGCTCTTGCTATTGTTTATTATTTCAGGAACTGCGAGAGTTGAGCATACGTATGTGTGTGTGGGTGCAACAGCAAGCATAACCACCGCAAAAGTGCTACAACAACAACAACACCAACAAAAACAAAAAGAGCAACAAAGCAAAAGACTGATAAAGCAACTGCAGGGAATATAACAAAGATTTGAAGCAACAACGTTAAACTTTGTCGTTGTGTAGGTGATGACTTGCCATTGCATATTCTCTATGATTTAATTGCAGTTTCTATCTCTTCTCAATTTTTAGAGGCTAACATACGAAATACGTCGGCTTGAGTGTGGCGATTGGCGGGAGCGAGTGCTGTAGTATCAATTACAACTCCAACGACTACTACAACTAGAGCTGCACACAAGAGCTGGAGACCGGCGATCACAGGGTTAACAAAATGGACGATCTTATGGTCGAAGTACGACTCGATAATGGTGCCTATTACAAGGTAAGATAGAGAGAGAGCGGGAGTACTCCAAAGCTGAAGTCGCCGCTGCTGCTGTCGACGTCGCCGTCAACGCAGCAACTGCAGCAGCATGTGCCAAAGGCAGCGACGGCCTCAGTTTCTAATTTCGTAAATTTTAGCTTTATTTCTATAAATATCTGCATCATTTTGTTGAGTGGAGTCTCGCATCGAAATACGGCACATACAATACACACACACACGCACGTACCACAAGCATAGAAATCAACACGCACTCTCATAGGGCGCACGCAGTCGCTATCTGTGTGTGGGGGTGTGCGTGTGTCGCCGCCAGCGCGAGCGTCGCTGCATATTCACGTATATGATTGTGTTTATGTGTGTGTGTGAATACAAGCAGGCTCCGCAGAGTTGCTTTCAGCGCCGCTGACGTTCGCGGCGAATACTGTGTTGCTTTGTGATTTCCCTTTCTAAAGCTTATCAGATTTGCATACATAATACGTTTTGATGGCATTGATAGCAAAGTGGAATTTATTTGTACATGCAATAGCATTTCTTTTCATTAAGAGCCACACTCTCAGTTTATTGAAAACTCTTGCAATTCATTGAATGGTATGAAAAAGCGTCTTTCAGCAAAAAGATGCTGGAACTCATTAGCCATTACCCAGGAATTCGTAATTAATTTTGTGCAAGGAATAGCTAGGTGGTCAGGCGTATTTTGTCTACTAATTGACGTATTTCCAGGAATTATATTTCTAGTTGATTATGGAAAGGGATGCAAATCTCATCCATAATTTTTTAATAGGAAATTATACAGAAGAGTTTTAATAGATTCTATATATACATATATGATAACACCGCAGAATCACAAAATTACCTGTTTGGAATTATATTTCTACTTGAAAGTGTAACGGGAAACAAAAATAATTTGCTAATTACAAGATATAGATAGTTAAATTATAAATATCTACTCGGAATTTTATGCATAATGAAATTTATTTTAATTTGCTAAATTCAATTCCTATATTTTTCAAATTAAATTACGTAGAAGGTATTTCTGAAAAAAAAAAAAAGATATTTTTTATGGACTGTATATATGTATATTATTGCTGCTGGTGATTACCCTTTGCATTGCATTTCTTATCAGTATCAATCGGCGTGTTTAACCCGCGTGTATGGCACGTTTTGTCAACGGCATTTATCTGGTAATTCGCTCATAAAAATGTATAATTAAAATTATGTATCTATAGCCTTAGGAAATGTATCATAAAGCAACAAATGCACAGACCAGACCAACTATATAAATGACACACATTTTTCTTTCGCTCTTGTCTTTTCTGGTGCTGCCTCTGTCGCTGTCTACGTCTCTGTCGCTGTCTCTGCCTACGTCAACGCAACAACTACAATGATAATATTAACAACAACAACTACGACTACGACTACAACAGGGCCAGGTGACAGCTGTCGGCGATGATGGCATCTTTGTGGATGTGGACGGGTAAGTCAAGCGACAAACTTTACAGCAAACCAAACCACCAAACAGCAGCAGCAACAACAACAGCCTGTTTATATTGCAATTTATACATTCTATTTTTTTTTTATTATTATTATTATTATTCTGTTTATTCGTGTTCTTTGGTTGTTTATGTGCCTATTTTACAAACGATTTGCAACAATGATGCGCACTGCATTTTACCTCTTGGCAAACGCTCGCCCAACGCATTGGCCTGTCCATCGTCTATCTGTCTGGCTGTGCGTTGGGAGACGCCACCGTTTGTCCGCTTCTCATTTGGCGCAATTTGTTAAATGATGCTGCTGCGGCTCCTTCAGACAAACGACAGACGGACTGACCGTGTGATCCGCATGCCGCCCAAGTGTCAGCTCCTCAAATGCATTCGTCTGTCTGTATGTATGTCTGTGTGTGTGTGTGTGTGTGTGTGTGTGTGCACACGCGTCGCGCTGTCATGCCTCAGCGGCAAATGCCACTAAACAGCAGTCGCAACAGCAGCAGCAATCGACGTCAACTTCGCAGTTGGCTATTTTTAATCGCGGAAAGAAACCATTTTTCTTGTCATTTCTTTTGCTTTGCTTTCATTTTGTTAATATCCTTGCAGACAGGGTATAAATATTTAATCATAAAATTTGTAGCAGGTGGGGAATCTTAATGGGGCAATGCAATAATCATAAATAATGTATAAATATATGTATACATCAGTGGTTAGTTGATCTACTCAGTTCGTTAGCTTCCAATTAGTTGATCAGCTTTGATCAGCTTTTGATATCATACATAGATCAGGTCTTTCTCTCTAAGTCTATATCATATGTATACATATATCACTTTATATCTTTATTCTTGTTCTTGTTTTTGGTATGATTATATAAAAATTAGTATATATAATTTATATATATACAGTTATTATTATAGTATAAACTTTATAGTTACCTCCAATCAGCGATTGTTTAGTATGTTGTCATTTAGACTTACATATATATTTTGTATAGATTATTATTTATTCAATAATAGATTTTGCCTACTAAACCTTATCAAAACTTTCTATACGAATTTACAATAGAAGAGTATTTAATCTTCGACTTGCTCTAGCTTTCTAGATTGCTATTGCGCTTATTCGCTTGTTGCATTTTTGGAGCAATTTGAGTAGTTTCAATTTAGAAAATTTTTAGTCAGTTTTTAATTTGATTTATGTATATATTTTCATATATGTATACAATTTTATTTATTTATTTTTTTTTTTTTTTTTTGATATTTATTTTTGCTGAGCTTGCGCAGCTGAGTCTAAATTTAGTTGCCACCCTGTTGCTGCTGCTCTTCTGTGTGCGTCTGTGTGTGTATGTGTGTCAGTTTATGTCATTTCCGATCTATGTCTTGGCTATAAAGAAAAAAATAATAATAGGGGGCACCCCCGCGATTGTGTGTTGAGCACGCTTGGCACCCAGCCAGACGCTGCAATCAGCGTCAACTGCGCTGCCAGCGTCTGCGTCAACGTAGACAAACACTTGTCTGCAGCCATGTTCGCAATCAAATATTTTGGCACACGGCATTTAAATGAACATTTTGCCTGGCTCATTATGCCAAACGAAGTAAATGATTTTGTCTGCCATCTTAGCTCTGTTGCTCAATTGTTTTTGTGTTGATTTCTTTGTGTTCTATCTTCTCGCTTAATTGTGTTACAACAGCGTGCCTGAGGTGCTGAAATACGCATTCGTCAATGTTCGCCTGCCGCCCGATGAGGCTGTTGTGGCGCCGAGCTTCGAGGAGGGCATGGAGGTTGAGGTATTCACGCGCACAAACGAACGCGAAACGTGCGGCTGGTGGGTGGCTGTCATCAAAATGCTTAAAGCTGATATCTGTGCGGTCGCGTACATTGGCTTCGAGACGCCCTATACCGAAATCTGTGAATTGGGCAGGTTGCGCGCCAAAAATCCAAATCCGCCAATTACGCCAAAATCGTTCTATCAGTTCACGCTGCCCGTGCCCGAGGAACTGCGCGAAGAGTGAGTAAACTGAATATAATATTAAATATCAACATATTTCATATATATCGTTGTTTATTTGTTTCGTAGAGCTCAAAAGGATGGCATACACAAGGAGTTTCAGCGCACCATCGATGCGGGCGTTTGCAACTATAATCGCGAATTAGATGCCCTGATTGTCATCTCCAAATGGGAACACACTCAGAAGCGCGCCAGCATGCTCAAGGATATGCATTTTCGTAATCTCTCACAAAAGGTATCAAAATATTGTTCAGAATATTCTTTATAAGGCAGTTATTAAACTGTTTTCAATTTTTATTTAATCATTCAGGTTATGCTACTGAAAAGGACTGAAGAAGCTGCGCGTCAGCTCGAAACGACCAAGCTGATGAGTCGTGGGTAAGCTATTATAGATATATGAAATATAGCAGATAGCAGATATTTACGCTATAGAAAGAGTTGCTAGGAAGTTATAGCGTCTAGCATTTTTCTCTAATCCTCTTATCACCTATTTAATGAATTAGAAAAGTTCTCTATTGTTCTTATCAACTGTCAGGCATTCCATTCCCCGCACTGTTCAATGATAAATGAGATCTACAACTCTTCCACTATTAAAATTACTTTCCAATACATTATAAACTATAATATTTTCGTTTTATTTCTTTTTAGAAACTTTATCGAGGAATTTCGTGTACGCGAAGATCTCATGGGCCTGGCAATTGGCTCACATGGCTCCAATATACAAGCGGCACGCACGCTGGTCGGCGTTACGAATATTGAGCTGGAGGAAAAATCGTGCACATTCAAGATAAGCGGCGAGACAGAGGAGTCGGTGCAGCGGGCACGAGCCATGCTCGAATATGCCGAGGAGTTCTTTCAAGTGCCCAGAGAGCTGGTTGGCAAGGTGATTGGAAAGAACGGCCGCATCATACAGGAGATTGTAGATAAGAGCGGAGTGTTTCGAATCAAGGTGAGTGCTGTGAGTATTGTACACCTTGCCTGGCATGGCCTAATCTTGCGACAACAACAAAACAAAAACACAGATCGCTGGCGATGACGAACAGGATCAAAATATACCACGCGAGCCAGCGCACGTACCCTTTGTGTTCATTGGCACCATGGAGAGCATTGCGAATGCTAAAGTGCTGCTGGAGTATCATCTGTCACATCTGAAGGTGAGTTTCAGAACAATTTTGAAAGCTCTGTAGTCTGTGCTAATTCTTATTTATATTGATTGTTTAGGAAGTGGAGCAACTACGCCAGGAGAAGCTGGAAATCGATCAACAGCTGCGCGCCATTCAAGAGTCCTCGATGGGCTCCACACAGAGCTTCGCGGTGTCGCGGCGCTCAGAGCGCGGCTACAGCAGCGACATTGAATCTGTGCGCTCGATACGTGGCGGCGGCGGCGGCGGTGGTCAGCGCGGCGGTGGTCGCGTTCGCGGCCGTGGCGGCGGTGGCAATAACATGAACCAGCGCTATCACAATCGGCGCGAGGACGATGACTACAACTCCCGCGGCGACCATCAGCGCGATCAGCGCTACAATGATCGCAACAGCGGCGGGCCACCAAATGCTGGCAATAACGGTGGTGCTGGTGGCGGTGGAGGCGGCAGTGGTGGTATCCAAAACTATCGCGGCGGCAACGACCGTCGCGGTATCAATCGCCGGCCGCCACGCAACGAGCAAAATGGCAGGGACTATCAGTACCATAATCACACCGACGAGATGCGAGAGACACGCGAAGTGAGCAGCGTGGAGCGTGGTGAGTTGACCAAGCAACGAATGGATTAAGACAGAGAGAGAGAGAGAAAGAGAGACATAGGGAGAGGGAGAGCAGTCGGCTTGCGGATCGTTTAAGCGGGGGGACAAGACGTTCTCGGTATTCAAGCAACCACTGTTGTGTATAATTAGGGACTGTGTGTCTGTATGAGTGTATCTGTGTAAGAGTGTATGCTATACACACGTATATATGTATATATAAATTTATATATATATTCATATCAACGGTTTTTTTGGCCAACATGTGAATCCAATTTGTGCAATTCAATGTAACCCACTTGTAATATGACTTTTGACGTTATAAATTTGATTTCTGATTGGGCTGAACCCCCGCTTAATATTGCAAACTTTTGTGTTATTTCAATTGCGTCACCTGTACACATATATGTTTCTCTCTTCCGGCACAGCGGACAGCAACTCATCGTACGAGGGCAGCTCCAGAAGACGCAGAAGGCAAAAGAACAACAATGCGCCCGGCAACAGTGAGTATGGTGAGGATGATTCCACTTGAATGCTAGTCAAGCTGAACAACAATTTCGACTCCACTTGCAGCAAATGGCGCGGTGGGAAATAATAACAACAAATCACAGCAGCCACCGTCATCCTCGTCGTCGACGTCAGCACAGCAACAGCACCAGGCGCCAGCACAATCGAACAAAGCGCCGCTGAATACACCGGAGAACAGCAAACAGAGCAGTGGCAATGCGAACGCCTCGTCTGGCAAGTCGAAGGATGCGCCGCGGAATAGCGATAAGCAGCAGGCGGCCACACAACAGCAGCAGCAACAGTTGCTGCCGCAGCAACAACAGCAACCACCGCAGCTTGCACAACAGCAACAGCAGCAGCCACAGGGGCCGCAGCACCAGCAGTCAAAGCCCAGGCGCAACAACAAGAATCGCAATAACCATGCGGATCAGGCGGTTAACTCGGATGTCATCAAGAAGGAAGGCTTGGTCAATGGTACGTCCTAATTAGCGGCAGCAGCAGCACCAGCAACAACAACAACACGGCAACAACAACAACAACCAAACAAAATGCAAATCTTTCGTTCAACATGTTGTATATGCGCATCAGGCAAGAGACAAACACACAGACAACATGCAGGCAGATAATTAAATTTGAATGTTCATGTCGTTTACACAACAAAACATACACCCACACACACAACATAACGAAACAACCAACAACCAGAACAACGTGTAGAGTAGGCATAAATAACAAAATGTTTGAGAAACTATTTCGAGTAACTACAAAATAAACAACAAACATATAATTATACATGAATAATGTACCACATACAAATACACACACATATATATACTAATACGTCATACACAACAATACATACATACACACACAAACTTACAGACAGCTCGAATTATACACAAAAAGAAGAGGAATGCAAAATACAACCATGCCTAGGCTTATAATTTTAATTGAAATTAAATAAAAACAATCAAAAACAAAAAGGAAACTAATTATGTGTATAAACCAAAACTAAAATGCAATTATTAGCAAAACACGAAAAGAAAAGAGAACAAATTGGATTATGTTAACTTAAACTTAAATGCAGGCAATTAACACAGTTTTTCAAAAAGAAAACGGAAAATTAATTGCTAAAAAAAAACAATAAAAAACAAAAAACATGAAAAACTTGCCGAAAATGTGCTTTTAAAGCGCGATTCTTCAGCAACTTGGAAAGTTTCTAGTTACATAATGAAAATTATAGTGAAAGAAATCAATGTAATTGCAATTATATTATTTTTTTTTTTCTATTATTCACACATATATACCAATATAATATATATGTATATACTATTTAATTTCATTTGTAAATTAGCATTAAACAAAAATATTTAGTTCGACAAGTTTTGTGTATAATTCGTGCGTGAATCAAAACTAAATTGCAGCAGTTATTATTTTTCTTATATAGCTTCGTTCATTTTATTTTTATCTTTTTAAACATACATTTTGTATTATTATTGTTTAGTCACGTAAATGCTTGCGTAGAGAATTTCAGCAAATTTTTGTATAAATATTTGCAAAGCATTTGAAAGCGTAAAAAATTTCGAATTTTGTTTATTCATTTTAGAATTTGTTGCATTTTGTTTTATGTCGAGCCTGAACATTAACGATATGGAAAACCTCTCTTATTTGTATAACGTTGTATTTATTACTACTATTATTTAGCACACACGCTCTAACACACACATATACACAAACCGACACACTCGCTCGCTCATATATCTACGCAAAGAGCATGAATGGGGTAAATAAATAAATATAATTCATTAACATTTTTGTTGATATCAAATCATATAAATTATATTCAACTTTGCCAATACCTATCACGCGCATAACTAATTTATTAGTACCCTATTAAATACTCTTAAATTATTTAAAGCAGCGATTAACATAAATAACATTAACAACATAAATAACATAAACTGGGAGATACAACAATAGAAACAACAAACATAATTAAAAGCTAGGTAAAACAGAATCGAAGTTAAAAAGTAATAAATTCATTAAAATCAGTTTAAAGATATTTAAATAAAAAAAATATGAAAAAATAAAAACAACCACACTTATAAGAACAAACAAAACAAAAGAAACGGATAATATAAATACAAAACAGATTTCTTCTCATTAACTTGAAGAATAATGTCAATAATATATAAGAAAGAAAACACAAAAATCTTTTAACATACACAAAAAAAAAAAAAAAACGATAAATAATAGAAATGTTGTGTAATTCAAATAAAAAATGCAAGAAAAAAAAATAAATTAAAAGAGAAAGAATGTGCGATCTAAAAATGATTATTTATATGAAGATGAACTTATATAGAAATATAGCAAGTAAATTTTATTAATTTAAAATTTATAAATATAAAAAAAAAAAACAAACAAAACATAAAAAAAACACATTGTTTTTTTGCTTTTATTTATAAATGACTTTTTGCGCCCAGCAGCGGTGCAATAAAAATAACATTAACCATAAGATTAAGCAGCAAGGAGGAATTTTAACTATTGGAAGAATTATTTAAAGAAACGTAGATTTACGTAGCACTTAGATTTAAAATTCCTCGAATACCTTATAGCAAAAACCTTTGATTCTGATTTTGATTTTACTACCGTTGCAGAAAGGGAGGGAGAGGAATTCCAACTGGAGAGAAATTTGTCTTAAATTACCCTGCTGTAAATATGTAGCTTATATTTGTATAAACATATAGACAATGAGGTTCATCCCAATTAGGAAAGACTTCGTGTTAACTTTAGCGCTTTAAATCGCTTTTAATGTTTTACTCAAATATAATATTTCAGTTGAAATATAGGAAATATTGTTACATATGGAAAAACTGAAACTAAAATCCTAAAACATTACTACATTAAAGAGAGAGAGCTGTCTTTACAACCTTTAGAAAAGAAAAAAAGAAGAGATCTGCACAATTCACCTACATATGTGAATTTAAAATTAGACAACTTTTAAAACATTTCTGAATTAAATTTTCTTTAAAATTTAAGATCTGCTTATGTCGTGTATACTGTGAAATCAAGGACTTTTAATTACTACTATATACTATGGACTGTAGTGTGGAAAATGATATTCCATTCTCAGACTTTAAAACACGGCAATTATATTGACATCAAGTCTAATCGTTTATATATTTTTAAATTTACCCTTTTAAAGATTTTAGGAATTACTACAGTTAGAATAAATTCTAGCCATTTTATTATATTCGATATTTTTCCTTTATTGATTCTGCGTACTCACCTGAGACCACATTTCTTGCATCTACTTATCCTAGATAAGTAATCTGCAAATATTGCAGTTTGCTTTGTTAGCTTGTACATTGTTGTTATTTATATACTTGTTAATTAATTATTAATTAATTAGTTCCTTTTGTCTAGTTTCTCTCGGTGTCATAGCTTGTCGCGGCGGCAGTGAAGATAGTGGCTGTGATTTTTCAAGTGGCCACACAACCAGCTAACCACACTGCCAAAGCGCATAGCCAATCGGATTAAAGGGTATTTTTTCGTATGATAAAATGAAGATAAATATGAAGTTAAAAATAATATAATATGATGAGGGTGTGCGACTGATAGATTGAACATTTTGAAAACGGGCGCCAATCAGAATTCGCCCAAATACCGTCGCGAGCTTTTCAGCGGGGCGAAATCACTTTGCGCCATCTTGCGTCTCATTGGCAGCAACATCGCCGCCGCCGCCGTTGTCGTCGTCGTCGCCGTTGGCTTATCCACTTATGCTGCATTTTATGCTACGTTGCGTGCCCGCCGAAAGCTTTATTCATTTTGCGTGGCTCCAAGCGCAGCGCTGTAAAATATGCAATCAAACTTTGAGATACATACATATATATTGGGGGAATTGTAGGTTTCTATGTTGGCCTTGACAAGTGGGCTGGGGTGAAGGAGCGAAAGTTGGGCTGCAAACAAATTACTTAGAGCAGGCGACGTCTGAAGGTCGCTTTTTAGTTAGTTTTGCATTAAGCTATTCATATAATAATTGCTTTCAGTTTCAAGCTTAAAGTGGGCCACCATGTCACGCCTTCTTTGCAACTGGAGTTGGGATGAGTCGACCCGGTTTCAAGGTCATTGCAAGCGAGTCGAACTGACCTTTCGATGGTATCTTATTTAGTACTCAATATGATTTACGTTGTATTATCTAATGTTTGTAGATTTGGAAAAAGTTTATCTCAGATTTTATGCATCGAAAGTTGTTTTTATTAGTTGCTTATAAATCTCTAATGATTTTGAATGATTGATTGTAAAGTTATCTGTATGTTTGTATCTATCATGTCTCTCAGACTATCTATATAACTATGTCTATTCATATGTATCTGGTATGTATGCATCTATCTTTGCTTATATATGTCTGTATCTATTCATATGTATCTAATATACCTCTGTCTTATGCATGTATCTATTATATGGGGCAATCTGTCCACATGTATCTGTCTATCTATTTATAGTACGTATCTTTGTGTACGTATCTATCTTTTCTATATGTATCTATTATTATCTATATGTATCTATCTATATGTCTATAAAATAAAGAATTTAATGTATCTCTGAATTTTATATTGTCGTATTTTCTCTACATTCCATCAAATGTATCTCAGCCCTCTAGTAAAATCTTTTCAATGTTTTGCACTATATTTTAATGTTACATATGCATATGTATATTTTCTATCTATATGCTTAAAATGAAGCACCCTATTAAATATATCTTTTGTGTGTATCTGTTATATGGCTAGATGTACCCTAATATATATAGCTATATGTATATGACAGATGCAGTAGTACATATAAGGTATATATTCGCATGTTTAATGCTCAATGAAATTGTATCTCGGGCATATTTCAGATAGATTCTTTGCCCTAATTACACAGAAATAAAACGACATATATTAAAGGTATTTATTTATAATAGAAAACATTTTTATTAACATATAACTTCTTTATTTTTAATAAATAAATGCTTACATTTAGTTTGTACTTAAAATTTAATTTTAAAACATATATAGAATAAATAAATAAACTGTAAATATATATTTATATATATTGGCAAGTCACACTATTCACAAAAATTGCATATATATTGTTTCAGCATTTAGTTGTTGCATTCGGGAAGATTGTACGTTCTGGAATGTCGTACCAGATAGTGCATTTACAAGCTTCAGAATGTTTCAGTGCAAATGCACTCCTGACACGCAGCCCAAAACTGTCTCAAGAGGATGCTATGCTATAGATACTTTTCTTTTTTATTTTTACGTATTTATATTTTCTTTTTGCCTTTTTTTCTTTTACTTTTCTTTGTAACTGAACAAAACCGCAACAACAACGCAACATCAACGAGGTGGCGGCGGCGGCGGCAGCGTGTCAGTGTGGGCGTGGGCGTGGCAGACGCAGCGGCATCAGAGCAACCAGTCGACTCGAGATTTCTTATTGTTTTTCTCTTCTAATTGTTATTCGTGTCGTGTTGAAATCAAAACACACAAAATATACAGCGAAACAGAGCAACGAGAACGCAAAAGCAACAGAAAAAAAAACAACTAAAAACAACGTGCATGACAGAGCGGGAGAGAGAAAGGTAGGTGGGTGGCAGGTTGTGCGGAGCATGACAAAATAAAAAAATTCAGACTTTATCAGTTTTAGATTTCCACCTAAACGAATGCGATTAGCAGTTTTATTGATATACGCGATGGGCGCAATGCAATGATCTGCCGAATTACGTTTTAAAAAATGGGTCAAAAATATGGGGTTGAGTGTGTGTGTATATATACATATATCTGACATATGTATATAAATATGGGCGTATTAAATGTATCCCATACCCCGTAAAAATAATTATTGGAATTTAATGTAGAGAGAACCTTGTTCAAATATTTTCAACTAATAATAATTTGTTTGAATGCTGTTTTTTATATCTATATAAATATAGATATACAAATA